CAATCCAATCCAACCCAATCCAGTCCAGTCCAATCCAGTCCAACCCAATCCAGTCCAATCCAATCCAGTCCAACCCAATCCAGTCCAATCCAATCCAGTCCAATCCAGTCCAATCCAATCCAACCCAATCCAGTCCAGTCCAATCCAATCCAACCCAATCCAGTCCAATCCAGTCCAACCCAATCCAGTCCAATCCAGTCCAATCCAACCCAATCCAGTCCAATCCAGTCCAACCCAATCCAACCCAGTCCAATCCAACCCAATCCAGTCCAGTCCAATCCAACCCAATCCAATCCAGTCCAACCCAATCCAGTCCAATCCGGTCCAATCCAGTCCAATCCAATCCAACCCAATCCAATCCAGTCCAATCCAGTCCAATCCAGTCCAATCCAGTCCAGTCCAATCCAATCCAGTCCAATCCAGTCCAATCCAATCCAATCCAACCCAATCCAGTCCAATCCAGTCCAATCCAACCCAGTCCAATCCAGTCCAATCCAATCCAATCCAGTCCAATCCAATCCAGTCCTCCAATTAATAGAACCATTTCAGCACATGCAGACTGATTTGCCATGAATCCAAAAGAGGACAATACATATTTTGCAGGACTGGCCACTGCACCACAATCAGTGATTTTGTGTTTTGGAGAAACTTCTTGAACTGTGTTTATGTCCCCTCTAAAGCTGATTTCTGCTGGTACTGTGGCAAACAGGTCAGCAGCAGGAACACCAGGGAAACAGTGACAAAGCAATTGGGCTTTGGCCTGAACTCACACCGGGATAATTCAGAGACCAAAGACATCTGGATCCATGCACCCAACACAGATTGATTTGGGGGGCCAGAAGGAACTGCACACAGGACATGTGGTGGTCACAGACACACACAGTCATCCAGGGGCTCTGCTCAGGGTTAACTCCAAAGCTACAGAACCACCAAGCAACAGTGGCCATCCACCTTTCAGGAAAATGAAGAGGGAAGAGCTAAACTCCAAATTCTACTGCAGCACCTGTTTCCAGTGCCTGGGAACTCTGCACAGTCAGTACCAGTCTGGATAAAGGGAAATGCACCTCTGGCTGACAGAGACACCTCAGCTGCTGGAACTCAGCTAATTACACTGATGAGCTCTCCAGTGACTTCAAAGGGAACTGAGACAACTGACTCAGCCAGAGACACCTTCACTGTAAAACAGCCACGTGCAGGGTATTAACTGCTACATTTTGGTATTAACTGGTGCATTTTGGGTATTAACTGGCACATTTTGAGTATTAACTGGTACATTTTGGGTATTAACTGGCACATTTTTATATTAACTGGTACATTTTGGGTATTAACTGGTACATTTTGGTTATTCACCGGTACATTTTGGTATTAACTGGTGGATTTTGGTTATTAATTGGTACAGTTTGGTTATTAACTGGTACGTTTTGGGTATTAACTGGTGCATTTTGGGTATTAACTGGTACACTTTGGGTATTAACTGGTACATTTTGGGTATTAACTGGTACATTTTGGTTATTAACGGGTATATTTTGGTTATTAACTGGGTACATTTCTTCTCCTTTGTTCCAAACACAGGATTTCTCACAGAATCAAGCAGGCTGGAATGAGATCTGAGATCAAGCCCACCCTCTGACCCCAACTCCCTCCAGCTCAGCAGCCAGTGTTTCCACCCGAAGCAATTTCCCCCCAGCACACCAGAAGAGCTCAGCTCCATTTCTCCCCCCACGTGCTGCCTACACGTGCAGGGGCAGGATGGAACAGGCAGCGGGGGGTGCAGGTGGCAGGAGCAGTGTGAGCAGTGCCCTGGGTGTCCCCTGGGTGTCCCCTGGGTGTCCCTGGGTGTCCCTGGGTACCTTCCAGCAGCACGCTGACCAGCGGGGTACGGTCGCTGTTCTTGGTCTGCTGCACCAGCAGCTCCCCATCGTCCAACACCCTCGTCACGGGGTCCCCCCACTTGATGATGCCGTTCATGATGTAGCTGGCATAGTCCTCCTGGTTGGTCCCAAAGGCCTGGGTAAAAGCAGGGACATTTATTTTACCAAAAAGTGCCTCGTCAGAAAGCCCACAAAACTATTGAAGTGTCACCAAAATGACCGGGGCCAAGGGCCTGGAAATGCTGAAGTGAGACCATCAGACTGTCTCACCCCAGCATTCCAGCTGGACAGGGGTGCAGATCAGGCATGTTTAGAAACTTCTTTTCACACACCCTCACAACCAGCTCTGGCCAGTGCAAGTTGCCAGTGGGTTCTGACTTCACATCGTGTGAAGACAATCCTCAAAAATGAAGCTTAAGCCTCTTCCTGCAGCCCATGTTAAAGCTGTCACCCAGGAACTGAAAGAGGCCTAAAGGGGAGAGAGCACATATGGCAAGGAGAAGAAATCCTGAGTCGTTCTTTATCTGTTCTTTTATTTTTCCTGACTCTCCAGCAGCAACAGGCACAGACAGAGCCCCAGAGGCTCCCCACTGTCACCCCTCCTGGGGCACCGCTGCCTGTGTGATCCCAGCAGGAATCTGCTCCCCCCCACCCTGGGGGGCTGTCCCAGGAGCCCCACATCCCCACTCACCGGTTTGATGTCGTTCTCCAGGGACGCAAAGAAGTCTCCCCTGGTCACACGGAGGCTCTCGGCCTTCTCCATGTCCACTTCCACTTTATTGCTGGCCTAAAAAGGCAAGAGAAGGCCTCGAGGTGCAGCAGCAGCAGCACACAGAGCCCTCATCACCCTCCCTGCACTGATGCTCCTGTGACAAATGTTCCTGCAGGGGCCTGTGCTGGACAGACCGGAGCAGAGCTCAGCTCCCAGCTCAGCTCCCACAGCCACAGCCACCCCACGGAGCCCCCAGGTCACTGCTGGGCACTGGGGTGCACAGCAGGAGGGGCCTTGCTCTGGTTTACTCTGTTCTTATTTTCCTGGGAAGGTTTTAGATCAAGAAAACTGGATGCTCCTTTCTCCTGTCAAACGAGTAGGGAGTGATCAGCCAGCTGAGCAGTGACTGACTGTGGAGATCCTTCAGGATCTGACACTGATAATCATTTCCCTCCCGTGGCAATCCTTAATTCTGCTTTGCCTGGGACCTGTAATCGTGTTGTGTGTCAGGGCAGGGTTGAATGCCCTCAAACTTTGAGTTTTCCCTGGAAGGAAATTAGCAGGAATGCTCCACTGAAACCCAGGGAAGGACTCCAGCTGGGGAGTCCCAGGAGCCAGGACTGCAAAGGGCTTTGGGCAGCACTCAGGAATTACACTGATCCATCCACAGAATTCCAGGCTGGAAAGGACCTCGAGGATCATCTTGGCAGAAGCACAGTCAGGACAAGATGGCCCAGCTCAATCTCCAAAGTCTGCAATGCTGGAGAATCCACCACTTTCCAGGGGAGATCACTCCAAAGGCTGATGTCGTTCCTCAAGTTGTTTAAACCCAGGGGAGCTCTTACCCTCCCCAGCCTTCCAGGAGTTCTGTGCTTTAATTTTTCACACTTTGAGAGATAATCAGAAGGGTTTAAATGATTCAGAAGACCCTGATCAAATGCCCCTTCATTTTCCATTTGTCTCTCACAGGTGCTTCTGAAAACTGGGTCAGGCCTATGATGTATATTTTAAATTTTCAGTGCATGTAGGAGAGAATAAAGTACCTTAGTGCATCAACTGGCTGAAAACATCTTCAGAATAACTAATATTATCCCAAAATACTATGTCAAAGCGTTTGAAAAGCAAAACAAAGCGTGGCTGCTTCCCCTGTGGAATACAAATCCACGGATGACTGGGATGTCAATCCCAACCCGACCCAAAGGAGGGGACTGCTCTCTTCCATTTGCACAAGGCCATCTTCCCTTCTCCCCCACGACATCCTGGCACAACAGGGAATGCATCAGAACAACAACAGTCCCCAGACTCACCCAAAACTCAGGCACAGAGAAGGCATCAACTACAAGCAAAATTAATTATTTAAGGAAAATGGTTTGCCTGCAAAGGGATGAAAATCCCTCCAGAACTGCTGACTTTTTTTTTTTTTTTTTTTTGAGGCAAAACACAAGAAGATGAGAAAGTGTTGATGTTTGTGGTTTTTTGCTACAGGAAGCAATTAATAACTTTGCAAGTGCTATGGTTATACAAGAATAATTAGCAGAAAGAGTCCTTTTCCCTGCAGAAAGAGCACTCCCAGGAGATAGAAATGTCTCACCACCAAACAATTCCTCACTCACTTCAGTCAAGGTGTGATTTGCTCTCCTCACATTCCAGACTGAGCAGGTTTTTCCTGAAGAAGAGCCCAGTGCTGTGGGATTGATGTCCAGGGCTCTTCCCTGCAGGAGCTGCCCCCCAGGAGCAGGGGCTGTGCCTCAGCCTCCTCCCTCACCACCTCACCTTTCAACACCACCCACTGCTGCTTTGCATCTGCATTCTCAGCCCCCTCCCAGTTAAGGACACACTGACCAGTCAGAGGGAATTGGGAAGGCTGGGAAATGTTCCTTGAGAAGAGAGGGAGCTGGGAATGTTACACACCTCAGTGGGCACTGGGGTGATCATCATGGGAGCACTTCCTTGCAATAAAAGACTTTGTCCAACCCCCTCTGAATCTGATCAGCACTTCAGCATCCCTGGAGCAAGGAATTCCTTCCCCAGCTGAGACACTTCCCACAGAGCACAACTGCCCTGCTGTCCTGAGCTCCTGCAGCAGGAGCAGCAAACACTCTTTCCCATTCCCTGATCCCAGCACACTCGTGGCTTCACACACTTCTCATAACCCTTCAGCACACTTCTTTTCAGGTTAACAAATCCCAGTTTAATCTAATTTCTCCAGTGAAAACCCTCCTGTTGCCATCCCACACTCTGGGTCCACCACAACCTCCTCAAGGTGGGTGTCCCAGGACTGCACAGATCCAGGAGCACCAGGATTTTATCTATGACACAATCACAGCCCCACCTCTGCTCTGTTTACCTCTCCTAGTAAATGCTAACATTGCACTTGCTATTTTCACTGCCAAGGACTGAGCTGGGAGTCCCAGACCATCCTGACTCCAAGAACTCAACCCAGGTAACCCCAGGTCAGCTCCCATCACTGCCTCCACTGTGGGAATTCCCTGCTGAATTCCCTGGCACCCTGTGCACTCACACCACCCCAAATGCCCCTGCAGGTCCCCAGAGCTGACCTTGGTCTCTGTGCCCACAAACCAGCCCTGAGTTTGGACCCTCCCTTTGCCCCCTCTCCACTCACAGTGTGTTATTTGTGAGCACACTGAGCTGCACAGGCTGTTCCCATTCCCACCTCCCCTCCTGGGTCCAAGCCATAAACTGAGCTCAAGGCTTCCAGTTTTTCCCAAGACACCCTTACAAACCACCCCCTTCCAGCCCACTGAGCTGTGCAGGAGCCTCTCAAGGGCAGCAGAGGGAAGAGGTAATTCTGAACCACAGAAAAGCACAGGCAAAAGGTGGTGCCCACATGAACTTCATCTCCTGGGGCACACGGAGATGTCAGGACCCATTTGTGGGGTTTTGCTATAGGAAACAACTAATAAGAGTTTAAGTACTATGGTTACACAAGAATAATTAACAGGAAGAGTCCTTTTTCCTGCAGAAAGAGCACTCTCAGGAGATACAAATGTCTAACCACCGGATGATTCCTCACTCACCTCAATCAAGGTGTGATTTGCTTTCCTCACAGTCAAGGCTGAGCAGGTTTTTACTGACCAAGAGCTGATTTTACTGAACATTCAAGATTCCAAGTGTAACTATTCTCCCTCTTTTTTTCCCCAGACAGAGATGACAGGACTGACCTTGATGTGTCTGTTCATGGCCGTGGACTGAGCAGCTCGAACCAAACCTTCCAGCTCAGCACCACTGAAGTTCTTGGTCTCCACTGCCAGCTCTGCAATGTCCACGTCCTCAGCCAGCAGCTGGTGCTCCCTCATCCTCACCGTGTGGATGTGGAGGATCTGGAACCGGCCCTTCTCGTCTGGCAGACCTGGCATGGTAACACAGCACACCCCAACCCCTCAGCACAGCAACAATTCCTTCCCAATATCCCATCCAACCAGCACAAGTCACTGCTCCTTCCCTGTCCCTGCAGGCTCTCGGAAGGTCTGTTCTGTTCCTTTATCCCTGAGTGTCCTTTCCCAGGGAATCCCATCCAGTAGTTACTGAATCAACTGAAAGTCTGCTCTCCTACAATGCAGGGCCTTGATTTCCCTCTTCACCTGCTCCATATTGTTCCTATAAAATGCTCCTTTTCTTCAGCTGATCATTCCCCAGTTTGCACCTTAGCAAGTCCCTTCTGAAACACAGATAATGGAAGGTACAGAGAAACCTTTTCTGAAATGAGATCATAACCAGCCTGGCACATCATGCTGGCAAAGCCCCCCTCTTCTCAGCTCACCTTCCATCCTTCCTTCCCAGCCTTTGCTCCAAGGACCTGATACCTGCACCGATTACTTTGTGCTGAGGGGATGTGAAAAGACATCTTAAAATGTGCACAGTCCCCAGCACTGTTCAGTCCTTGTCACCTGGCCATTTATTCCAGGGGTGCCTGGCTCAGTCCCTGGAGTTTATTGACTTAATTCACTTTTGTCAACCCAAGATGCAGGTACTGCACCTGCAGAACAACCCACCTGCCCTGCACTCCCTAAGAACTGTGGGGCATTTACTTGTTTGTAAGGAGGAGACTGACAGTTCCAATTTCACCTGCCACTCTGGCATGACACCATAGGGGTTTTAGGGTTATATGGACATTTTCATCTGATTTTCTGCCATTGAAAAGAAGCAAAACACGTTAATACTCGTGACTTCTTTGCCTGTTCTGGTTTTTCGCTCGCTACAGGTTGAGTGTTTTTACACCAGCTCAGAACACAGACAGGATTCTGGGACATCTGTGTGTCTGTGCAAATGTTTCAGGAGCTATTCCAAACTCCACATCTGACACTCCATTTTCAATCTCCACCTTAAACACAGATTTTGACCAATCTGAGTTTTTCACTGCAAAACAGAATCTTTGAGCTTTTCAACAGTCCCAGGCTGTTCTCTCCTCAAACTGTCTGCGCTGAATTGTCACCTCAGCACTGAGCCCCCAAGGCCAGTCCCCCTTTAGACTTCACCACGATCTTCAGTGACCAAACTCTGACCTCAAATGCAAACTCAGAGGCTTTTTTTCATGGGCTTCATTTCTTAACAAAGCCCACATCACCAGATATTCCCCAGTTTAATCTGCACCAGCCTGAGGCAGATGTGCACAGTTACAAAGGTCACACAGCTCCTTTCCAGTCCCCAGATGAAATGGCAAACAGAGCTCTTGGCCCACTTCTAGTTCTGCTGGAAACCCAGACCTGCTGATTCCAGAAGCCACAGCAAGTGCTGGATAAATCTGCAGTTCCTGCAGTGAAAGCCACCGCTGTCACTTCACTGCACTTCCTCAAGCCCAGAGCTGCTCACACACTGTTCCTGCCTGCCCTGCCAGTTCAACAGCTCCACAACTTCCTCCCAGGAATGAGCTGGTGCCGTGACTTGGCTCCTTTCATTCACACAAGAGATTCAGGGTCCTGAATCTACCCAGGCCTGCCCGTTCTGCTGGACAGAAACTGATGTCAGGTTTACCAGCAGGAAAGTCCAAAATGGTCCAAAATACTCTGGCGGGAACTGTGTGAGGTTCAGCACCTGAGCCATCCTGGTCAGCTGCTCCCATTACAATCTGTATTTGCAATTTGTACCTACTGTAGGTACAGGGGGTTTAGGAATTGGATCTGCAGCGTCCTTACCGATCTCCATCTTCACCTCCAGCCTCCCTGGCCTCAGCAGAGCCTCATCAATCAGGTCAGGTCTGTTGGTCATTCCTAAATTCAGAGTCACAAACAAAACAAGTGTTATGTGAGCTTAATAAATGGGTCTCCAACCCCTGGTACAGCCCACAGAGGTACCTCCAAGAGCCTCAAGAAAACAGACAGAAGTGAGTGCTGGGAAAGCCATGCCCTGAGGGAGAGTCAGGGATCACACCCATGCTGGTGGCTGTACCTCCCTGTCCCTGGGATTACCCAGCCCCACTCCTTCACAGGCCAGCACATCAGGGTGCATCAGCCCTTGCAGGTGTTCTGGGACTATGAAACACTCCTTTTGAAAAGCTACAGGAGGGACTGCTGAAAGCAGCAACACGATGTCACAGCCCTCCAAACCCGCTGCTCAAACAGCAGCCACCCCCTTTGGACCAGCCCAACACCAGCAGTGGTAACTCAGCTGCAAGGAGGAGAACCCCAGGGGCGTTGCAGCAGCCCCCAGCACGGAGGGAGGGCGGTCCTACCGATGACCAGGATGTTGTTGAGCTGCTCCACGCCATCGATCTTGGACAGCAGCTGGTTCACCACCGTGTCGTGCACCCCGGTGCTGCCGGCCATGCTGCCCCTCTGCTTGCAGATGGCGTCGATCTCGTCGAAGATGATGATGTGCACCCCGCTGTTGGCTCCCAGCTGGGGGGGACAGGTGTGTCAGGAGCGTCCCCACTCACGCCGAGCGTCACCACGGAGCTCCCGGCAGGCCCGGCCGCGCGGGAACAACGCGGGCACCTCCCCGTGTGCTCAGCACCCCACGGCACCTGTGGGTGTGCCCCACCCCCTCCCACCCTGCCCACCTCCAACCCAGCCTGGCTGGAGGGCTTTGCCCGAGCTCAGGAGTTCACAGTTTCAAGGAGGGGCACTAGACTGGACGAGCAAAGCCAAGCCCAAAGCTGGAAAATGAAAGGCCCCAGCACTCAGTGGCTGGGGAAACCCTCTGAGAGAGCTGGAGAACAAGGCATGTCTGAGGAGGGAGGGCTGCACCAGGCTGGGCTGAAGCTGGTAAATACACAGCTTGCCAGAGCAGCTTTGCTCTCGGTATTTTTAGGGAGCCCAGTCAGTCCCTGCCGTTTCCAGGTTCACCCAGAGGTGAGGCGGTTGCAGCTGGTAGGAGAACAGGATACTTTTTGTGACCGTGTTATGAAGCCTCTTCCCTTCAAATTCCACCTGTAAAACATCCTCTGTGGCCAGGGCAGCCCGTGTCAACAGGGGGTGAATGTGCTGGCCCTGGCAAGGTGCCCCAGACACGCTCATTACAGCCCCAACCTTTGGGAGACCTTTCTAATCTCCCAGCCTGTCATCAGCCCCATCCCCTGCGGCCAATACCCAGGGATTTTAACAGGTGTGTTATTGCAAAGGGAAAGAGCCCTCAGATACTGCAACAACCACGCAGGAGATTGCTCA